AGGGGAAATGTCTAGAGAAAGCACAATATCAAAGTGTTAATTTGTATTTATCTTAACATCCACAACATTTGCGTAATAATGCCAAATCCTTCCCATTCTTGCGAGTTCAGTCGAGCGGTGGTAATATGGGACAGTCTCTACCCTTGTGAACAATAGCTGGCTCGAGTCACGAGCCCAAGCCCTACAGCAGGTATACCGGGGGAGATCATGGCAGGGGGGGACCTTTCCGGGGTGTGCATTTTGAAAACGATCGGGGTTAACATATCCGGTTAACATCAATTCTAATTAGAAAATCTGGTAATTGTATATGATAAGTGAATATATTTATCTAATTAATACGCAAACTCTAAAATAACTCGTCATATCGACGAGTGCATGAAATTGAGTGTCCGCGGCCGGAAACATCACCCCCCGGTCTCTGACGTCAATATGACGTAGGGGGGTGATGTTTCCGGGGGCGACCTTTCCGCGTCCCCGCTGACCCAACACCCCAATAACTGGAATGGATTGTTGTGAAAGGAAACTCTAAGAATTTGCAAATGAAGTCCATTCTGAGTAACGTGTGGGGATTAACGGGACATTCTGTACGCTGTTTACAAAATATTTCCTTTGCCTTTCCAAGTACTGAATCTATATGGTTTTGCTTATATTAAACAATACGTCAAATACGTTGTAGCAGATGTCTTTAGCTGCATTTTACAACAGGTATTTCGTTCACCTTTCTCAGAAATAGCTGTTCATGGCGTGTTCCTGAATCAACAATAAGGTATATCGTGTTATTGTCCTAATAAACACGAGAGACATTCGCCTATCTTTATGGTCGAATTATATAAATAACATTGAACTGATTAATTTAACAAATGATCATTGTTAATTTATTGTAACAATTAGGCTATTTATGTACTGTACATTTATGTTTTATGTTTTACATTTATGTTTTATATGTTTGTTTTAAGCTGTATTTATGTTTTAGTATATATATATACTGTTTAAATATTTATTTATTCAATCAATGTCCTGACTAATCAATACACAACCTAAACTATATTAAATAGAGATTTGATCATATTGTCATAGCATCTCTTTATAAGAAATCTGTCCGGAGTATGTGCAATTTTGGTTTATTAAACTTATTGGTAAATTGGTGTAAGATTGTTTTAGGTTTATTCGTAATCCGGACGCATACGAAGTTGAAGCTTTTGCTTTGGTATTAACAGTCAAGTAAAATAAATAAATAATTAAAATACCCCCGCCGCAGCAAACCTGACGCCTAAGCGAATTTCCATTTGGCTGGATTGATTTTCAATTGATCTATTTAAATAACATTAGGTTTAACGAGTACCTAGGTTTGCTGCTACAAGGAAACTAATAAAGTGTGTGTTTTAAGTAAAATAATTATTGCTTAGTATAAAATGAATATATTTGCCAAGTTTGATCAAAAGATATCCATAAACAAGCAAACTACAACATTTTACAATATTCTCCATAAGAATAACATGGGAATTTTAAATTTACCATTTTTTTAGTTTTCTCCGTAACCAATAACCGTACAAAAACACTTTGATATACTGAATTGTTTGTTTTTTTAAGCTCTTTAAGAAGGTTTAGAGAAAATTTGGGAAATTTTGTGTTGTGAGGGTCAAAAGTGAGAAAAACCAATTTTTACCCCATAAAACCCCCCATAAAACCCTGTTCCCATGGTCCGATCATGCTGGATCGCGAACTCATTCAAGTTTATCCCGCCTTACACCTTCAAACCAAATTTCATCAAAATCGGATAAAAATTACTCAAGTTATCGTGTTCACGGACACACATATATATATATATATATATATATATATATATATATATATATATATATATATATACATATATAAAAATTTGAACGAGTGGTGTTTTTGGCCTCTGGGGACATCAAAATGAAAAAGTAAATCGGTCCCGGGCCTAAGTCTTACCATGAGACCTACGGTAATAGCTACTTCCCTATAGGGAAATTCGCTAATAAATAAATAATTAAATAATCTTATAAATTTAAGAAAATGGGTTATTCGTTTGGCTCTGCTACCCGACCATTTTTATTATTGAGGTCTCAAATTAAAGGTATGCACGCACAGATTTGCCATCAAGCATCGGCGTATATTTTTCTATTATCTCACTCGGCTTATACGTAAACGAAATTGCTCCCCATGTTTTTCTTATGGGAGTTAAATTTGGTTTTCATGATTTTCTTCGTTAGGCTAAACAAATCATGTTAACAATTTAATTTTTGAGTTGTTCTAATTCTTATAACGTAGTTTTCTAAAGTTATCTGTTGTGGCTGCCTAGAAATAATCGGACGTTTGTTTCTCCTTTGAAAATGTATTGATAATTATAGTAGTGGTAGTTAATTATGTTACAAGACTATGACAAATTGCCAATTATTGAGTCAACTTGGTCCCCACGCACAGGCTTCGCATATGTAGGCTCTGTCGATTTTCAGAAATTACGTTCATTCTGTATCTATTATTCTTTTGTTATGAATTGCTTTTGATTTTATTTATTTGATTTAATTTTACCATGGTATTTTTCCGGACAAACTCCATTAAAAATATAGCACGGGTCGAGGTTAATTTAACAACTTAAAACTAATTCATTCAACAATAGTTTACCTGAAAACTATTTTACTAATATTTGTTTAAAGTTTTACAGAATACACTTACACATGATGCTATTGTATGTTTTTATTTATACATGATATAGGTACTTACAACAAAACTTGTGAATTTTTGTGTTTATTTATACATTTATTGTATGGCAACAACGTAAACTTAAAGATAGGAGCGAGTGTATGCAATTCCAAGATAGAGTTTAGTATTCACCGATCCTACGATAGTTTAAGAGTATATTTCGTACCTGGGGCCGAAAATGACTTTTTTCAGCTCGGGATCATTTTTAAGTTCGAGACGAAGATGAAATCGGTCCGTGGTACGATTGCTGTTTTTCACCAAACTATACAAAACTGAGAAAATATATCAATAATGTAGGCAAGCATGTTTCTTTACAACCTTTTTATCAGCTCGTGAACATCACACAGAAAATATCCGCATATCGGTGGAAATGTATTTTCCTGTCGATCTACAGAATGCCTTTATAAATTAAAATAGGCTAAAAAGACATAAAAAAAGAATTACAAATGTTTAAAACTAACATGGGTTTAACGGGTTGCTATGCTGGTGACGAAATAACAACTAATTATGAAAGTAAAATCAAAACAAATGGAACATATTCCAATCACATTTATTATTTACAGTGTATGTTAAATGGAGAAGTATGTGTAGTACATTGCATAGTTTTTGTCGAGTTTTCAACCGCTGGACCTCAACTTCATTGTACACTTCATTGTTCATTGATCACTGGGAAATCCATTGTAAACTATAAGATATGCACACTAATCAATGCAAATACTTTAAGGTTATGTGAAAAAATATTTAAAGGAATCAGCAAAAATAGTAATACATAATTGCTGGGCAGCGGTCTATTGCAATTCATTAGGGATATACTGCTTGTATATGTAATGATATATATAAATGTTTTAATTAAATAAGCGATTTTCGGTACTAGGGCTGGGAAATTTTAATCACAACTATAGCTGCCATTTCGACCCTGGACAGCAATGCGTAGCTTTCAGCCTCCAATTAACGTCTGTAAAACTACTAAAACAACGTATTGCGGTGAAAAATATTTGCCAATCATACTCAATCGACTCGGAACACTGCAGTTCCTGATTTAATTAAGGGTATTATTAAAAAGTACTCGTGCAGTAATCAATTAAACAGGGTAACGAATTGAAGGATAGATACAACTAGACTATAAGGACGCAAAATACGCGTAGGTACAACTAGACGTAGGGACTACTAGACGGAGGGACCACTAGTCGTAGAGACTACTAGTCGTAGGGACTACTAGTCGTAGGGACAACTGGTCGCATCCGTACAAGCTAGGTGATACTACTTGTCGGTGGGATACACGTCTAGTTGTACCTACGTCTACTTGTACCTACGTCTAGTTGTACCTCCTAAAAATCTGCAGGTACAACTAGTCGGGTGAGCCACCGTCTACTTGTCCCTCCGTCTAGTTGTACCTACGACTAGTTGTCCCTAGGCCTCGAGGTACAAGTAGACGGAGGGACAACGAGACGGAGGGACAACGAGACGCGGTCCCGCACCTAGGTTTGCTGCTACAGGGAAGGTATTAAGATTGTTGTAGATTAAATCTAATTTGTTTTGGAAAATAAATAGATTTGCCAAATTTGATCAGAATAAAAAAACGAGCATAGGATAAGTGACATAGGCATTTTGAATTTACTGTTTTTATTGCATTTTATCCGTAAAAATGAACCCTACAACAACACTCCATGTAATAAATTGTTAAGCTTTACAAATACAGACAAGTGTTATTGTAAATTTGTTTGTTTTATGTTTTAAAATAGGAAACCCCCATTAACCCATCATAGAACCCGTTACCATAGTCCGATCACACTTGTTTGAATGAATGTATAGGTTTATACATTTGTACAGAATTTCACGAAAATCCTTTAAGTTTAACTCCGAGTACATCAAAACAAAAATATAAATCGGTCTGTGTATCTGTCAAGCTTATTTTGCTATTGCCAAGTTAGCGCTGAAAATTACTAAGTTCTATTGCATATCTTACAGTGCTTCAGTAATTTATTGCTTTTATAATTTAAAACAAAATATTTAAACTACTTTCTATTATACTAAACATGTGTTTTGTCATAAAGGAGCCTTAAAACACGGAACATCACTCTTTTCTAATTTTTAAGTTTACCGGTACAGTATCCGGTATAATTTAATACAGACAACTTTGTTTTCAATCAGTCCGGATCTTGAAGGTTTACTACATGGAAAAAACTGTAGTAAAGTATACAAAAAAGTGTTTATTCTTTCCCTTAAAATGCGATAGTAATGCAATATTGTAACAAAAAATATACACAGTCATAAAGTATGATATTTTTAACTCAATGATGTTTTATTTTTGGCAGAAATAAAGAAATGAGCCCAGCTGACACAAGAATTACTGCCATACCGTAAAACAGCTGTTCACATTGTCTGAAACATCAGAATATTTCGTTACTCTTGGAAACAGAATTGAATTATTTTATAAGGCATTAAGTTTAGTATTTTGGTGTAATAGCTATTTACATTACAAGTGTAGTGAGAGCGTTTTTACATCACGCAGGTGAATGTTGTGCAACGAGCGGAAGCGAGTTGCATAATTCTCCTAAGTGATGTAAACAAGCTCTTGCGTAACGTGTAACGTACACGATTTTCCTGATCCGACAATATACAGGAGGTTACGAACAATCTATCTATATATTAATAGGCAAGCATGATTCTTTAAAACCTTTTTTCTCAGCTCGTGTGAATCGTAGGGAAAATCTACGCATACCGTTGGAAAGCTATTTTCCTGTAGGTGTGCAGAATCCCTTTATAAATTTAAATAGGCTCAAAGATAAGCACAAAAAATGAGTTTAAAAATTTGAAAAAATTAACATGGATCTTATGCGTTGCTATGCTGGTTACGAAATAACAACGAAATATAAACAGAAAATCAAAACAAATGGAGGAAACTCCAATCACATGTTTTATTTACAGTGTGGGGTGAAAATAGATAAGTGAGTACATTACATATTTTTGGTCGAGTTTCGACCACTGGACGACCTCTCGTATTTTTCATTATCCATTTCACTCATCTTCTAACAGTAACGTTCATTTACAAACAAAAGCTAGGTTAGGAAAATTCTTCAAAGCATAACAATAACATTCAAGCGCACAGCTTATTTCTAGCGTTGAACGTCGTTGGCTCCATAGAGGTTTAAGTTAAATAATAGGTTTAAGTTATTTTTTAAGTTAAGCACTCAATGTTATTTAAATGGGTTTCATTACCTCACCGAGTGAGTTTTTCAACTTTACATCACTCGTGAAGTAAAGAAGTTGTATACATCACGCTTGGGATAGGGAAGTTTAACATGGCGGGTTAGGTAAAATATTTTATACTGCAAGTGAGTAGACTATTGTAAAATAAGCAGCTTTGTCGGGGTACGCTTCAGTGAGCTGTTATGATAGCATTTTTCAGCATTTATTTGACAGAATGGGTTTGACGTTTTGGTTATAATTAATACCAAAACAATTCAGCTTATAAATAAATAGTTTTATTTTGTTAAAATAGTTAGCATATTAGTTGCGAAATGACAATGAATAAAATTAGTTAATACCAAAATACGTTCTATACAAACTACGATGATGTCTGGAGCCCAAACATAAACTGTTTCCAGTTGATCCATAAATATGAAAACCCTAGAGTGATTATTTTTATGATCAGGTTTTGTACTAATTTTTAAAATAACTATTAAAATAACACATTCTTCTGTTCATCGCATATCTAGCTAGATATCTGAGTGGATATAGTGCTTACCTAGTAATCATGGTTGCCCGTTCGTTATTGAGAAAAGCCAGTAGCTTTAAGAGTTCAATACTAGACCCACTGCCTTGATCATTGGGTCCTTGATCATTTCTTTTACATGGTCCTGGCTTTAGAACCAGGCGATCTAAGTCAGTACAACTCTCATTCATTCATTCATTCAACACCCATCCTTTACTCAACGCGAAGTGCAGAGGAGCGTTTAAAATTTGGGCGCTGCATTTCTAGGAAAACATTACCAACAAATTGCCAAAAAAAACACAAGAAAAGAGCAAACTCCGGACTCCAAACACCCAGATTAAGGTATCAAAGTAAGAGAGTCCATAGAAATGCATCAGTATGCAGACCTGTCTATCATAGCGCCGAAGACGATGTTGCCGATGACAGATCCGATGCGGCCGAGAGTGACGGTGAAAGACATGGCTGTCCCTCGTGTCGTGATGGGGAAGATCTCCACGACGATACAGAATAACACAGCTTCCGCCAGATTGGTCATTGACTTGAGGGTGCTCAGCATCGCCACAGTCTAGACAAACAGTAGTGGTTACACACGGCCACCTTTAACTCCAGACCGCAGTCTGGTAGAACTGGCAACGTCGCAAGTAGTGCTGTTTAGTGCCAGACGTCCCATAAGCTAACATGGCAGACAGGTAACACCCTCTCGTTTAATCGTGTGTTATTCATATTGTTGAACAGCACTGCTGACTGTGTTGCCCCTTCGAACGCCGCGGCCTGGAGTTAGAGGTGGCCGTGAGTTGCATGAACCCCATATAAAGTACTCCATTCTGGTGTGATATGCAAGAAACGTTCTCAACTAATATATATCTTGCATATTACATGGGAGCATAGCATTAACAGAAACCTAATTTGAGTTGGTTAACTGTTCAGTACTCGATTAAGAATGGCTACCGGTAATAGAAAACGACCTGGATGCAGCTGAAACTCTATAATATCCCCAAAAAGAATTTACTCCCACACACGGTATCAACGATCGAACTAAAATTCCCATTTTTAAAGACTATAAGCCAAGCAATTTCCTCTCTAACTCTAAACCCCTCCACAAAACACTTTCCCTTACTAAATCCCCGCAAAAGGGCCTAACCAAGATGGTGTAGCTAGTACTCACCCAACACACTTTTAGGAACCCTGCCCCGGCCGACTGAACCCTTTCCCTTCCTCAGGAGGTCTATTTATTGAACTAGACAGATCCTGAGTGAAAATCCCTCGGTGTTTAAACACCTTCCCAGCTTGCCTAACCTACCCTATATTTGCAAGCTTTCTAACAAAGTAACCATTAAAAGTGTTACAGATATTGGAGTTAACAATTTCAGCTTCAAATTCTAAACCAAATATAAAATATACAATAAGAGTAAGTAACCAATATTACACTAACTTACAAACCCCTTGGTCATGTATTTTCCCTGGCGTTCATAGCCACTCCCATTTTGCTAAGGGTATATGAATACGCATGTATACCCAACAAGAATGGTTGAAAATTATACCTAACATGTTCTGCAGCCTGTTGGTTTAGAACTACCCAATTAACGGTTCTCTTATGACAAGTTTTGTTTGCGAAGTAGACTGATGGGTTTAATAAATGACCGAGTAGTCTAAGGTGTTGCTCTTTAGCCAGAAAGCGGCAGATTAAGGTTTCAAATCTGGTATTGTTTAGGTCTGGTGTGCAGGTCATTAGTTCTGCGACAGAGCCGTGTGGAAGACATAACATATTAGAAAACAACTTTCAAAGTGAAACGATATTAAATCAATTCTATTACAAACATGACTTACCATTGGCGTGGAATTGACATGAGCAAGAGCAACAGCGGGAACGGCTGAACACAACATTATGCCGAACATTAGCACCTTCTTGGGTACATAGGGCATGATCGCTAGCAGTGCAAAGGTGGTCGGTAGACAAGCTAAACATGTGATGATGGTATGCACAAAGGTGCTGATAGGAATCTTGTGGTCTTTCGGCTTGTCATCCAGCATCATCTTTGACACCTGTCAAACAGAGATTAATTTGTTAATCAAGGGAGCATCCAGACGACAATGGATTGCAAAAAAATAATTGTGAAAGAAAAAACAATTATCGGTAGTACAAGATGGGGGAAGGAGTTGAAAATGGACAAGTCTGTACAATGACTTGGCTCAAGTAAAAAATTTCAGATCCTGAAACGTTATGAAAATTAACAAATAAATAAAAGGTTAAAATACCTGATTGTCGCCTTGTAGTCCAAAGTTTTGTGCTAGTGGTATGTACATTTCGGCACGAGCACCATCATCGGATCCGTATAAGAACTATTAACTAAACTTCCCTGAAGAGGTGGGTAAAAAAATTCACAACACAAAATACACATGAACACCGGTCGACCGTTAATTAACATAGTTTTTATCTTTTGCTACGCGAGCACGGGCAGGATATGGAGGCGCGCCAGACGTTAGTTGAGACTCGACTGTTTTTTGTGTTGTGAACTTTTTACGCACCTCTTCAGGGAAGTTTAGTTAAGTTCATATACAGATCCGACGATGGCGCTCGCGCCGAAATATACACAATCCACTAGGACAATACTTTGGACCACTAGGCAATCGGGTATTTTAACCTTTTATTTATTTGTCAATCAATTGGTCCGGAAACACCACAAAAAATATGAAGTTATGAAATTTGTTGTTGTTGTTAGTATAAGCAGTGGGAAAAACTTCACAAAAAATTAACTCTAAACGAAGGTAAGCTTATTTTTGAATCAGCTTGATATAAATAATCTTAACAATAGTAGCCTATTTTGTAGAAAATCGACCACCAAAAAGTGTAATGGGCTCTCTCTCCTAAAGCCATACGATAATTGAACAACTCGAAATTAAGGCTTACATACCTCACATAAAGTCGGATGACGGCCTGGGTGTTCTTGGTAATATTTCTCTTCCCTGTTCAAAAGCTCAGGGACCCAAAGCATCATTGTGTAGTACACGGAAATGAGACAAAAGTCTATGTAGCATGTAAGCAGAATGTTGACACAAGATCTACCACTAAACAATGCCTTGTGCTGTTTTATTATGGCCACCAAAGTTTCTTTGACTGCTTTCAAACACGACCTTTTACCTTTACTTCCATATTGATAAGAATCGGCTTCGGGATGCGTGTCTAAAACCTTAATAGGGAATTCATCAGATGTTTTTCTATGGTTCACCGCGTACATTTTTGCAAGCACTTTTCTCGTCTTTTCAAGTTTTCCTTGAAGCAGCAGAAACCTCGGGCTCTCCGGCATGATGAGCATCATCATCGCTGCACACAGTGTCGGGATTCCACACACGAACACGAACAATCTCCACGAGTTGTACTCAACAAACTCGTCTTTCGATCCTATCGTAAAGTCCAAAGGGAGAATCGCAAACCCGATGAGGGGAAGTGAGATGATCCCCATGGTCCAGGAAATCTCCAGCCTGGAAAGGTATCTGTCACGATGGTCGTGGTCTAGAAACTCCCCCATGTAGCAAAATACGATACTGGTAGCCCCTATGATTCCGAACCCGTTGAACATCCTGACGATATAGAACACACTATATGCTTGGCAAAAACTTGAAACGAAAGAAGCCATTGCGTCTATCAATAACGCCCAGAAGAGTACAAATCTTCTTCCTCTGCTGTCTGCAAAGTTTCCCCAGACGTAAGATCCAATCACCATCCCCCAAAGTGGTGCCGTGTTAAGGACACCCTTGTCGACAGAGTTCAAGTTAAAGTCATACTGTGCTGCAGGAAGAACGAACGATAGAGTCGTGGTGCTCAAAGAACAACAAGCGTAGATGAGACCGCAGATTCCAGCCAACTTCCACTGGAAGAAGCCGTGGCCTGTGCACAAGATGGCGGTCTCTAAATCGATGGGTTCTTCTTCCTCCTCTCTCCTCTTTAGAACTAGCTGAGTTCTTGTTCTGGTAGAGGTGATGCTCACTGTATCCTCGTCTACCATCCCTCCTGGCACCAACGCCCCGTGAGGTCCCGCGAACACATGGTTCAGCGTGAGAGTTTTGGTCCACAGTTCGTTAGAGTCATTTGACAGCACTGATGAGTGATTGTCCCTTGTACCAGAAGTCCTCTGGGCTTCCTCATCCTGAGTTTGCCGGTTTTTACTTCGTTTCTCTTCGTTTTTCTTTTGTGATTCTTGACCCTTGTCAGGCATGTTTACAAGGTTAATGCACTTCCATCTACTCTTATACACTCGAAGAATACAAGTATGATATAGGCTAACGTAGCACTTTCAAGATAGGCCTACACTACTTTTCTGAAGAATTGAAAAATGAACTGGAATAATGTAGATTGAAATCTATAGAATATGTTTTGATTAGATGTTTTGTAAAACATAATGTTTTAAAAATCATCAGCTGAGAATATATAAGTTTATTGATTGGTAGACAACTTTAATTAATTGCGTTGATTGTGGATTAAAACAAAATATGTACTTCAACATCTAGTTTAATGACCAACACCCAACACTGAAATTTGTTTGTTTGATATATACATGTGTATGTATATGAATGGTTCTTATAAACTCCCCTAACCCCTACTATCATAATCCTTGATTCTACAGTCCAAAGAATTTTATAGAGTATGCTCTATTTTATTTTTCCTATGCTATCATATGTTCTACAGTTAAAAACAAGTTTTCCATTAAGATTGGCGCAGCAGAATAAAAGAAATTCGGCATAGAGTTAAAGAGGTAATATTTTTTTTATAAATAAGTCTTAAAAAAAAAAAAATGGCAATGTAACTTCCACTTTCGAGTATATTAAATATTAGTAAACAATAACTAAATCAATCAAATAAAAACATCCCAATACAATTATGTTCAAGAAATAAAACCCATTCGTAATTGACATAGTATCTTTGACTAATGATCCTGAACTACTATTTAAGGCAATGACAATGTCTATAGTATATAGACAGCGATGCACGAAACGCGTAAACTGTTCAGGGCTGACGTCAAAACTAAGTACCTACTTCGGCAGTGAAATCGGTTAGGTGCCTACCAAACAAAACATGACAAAGTGGTTGCTAGTAGAAAATATTGATATGAGAAAAATCCACAGTAGGTATAAAGAACTATCTCTATTCCATACGAAAGCTATGCTATGGACAGTACTTTTTAGTATTTATAGTCAATTGTCGTAACCTAACGTTACGCTAGAAAAGTGGACGATATAGCAAGAGAACCACTTACGTTCGTTGGTGGACATAGAAGAAGGAGCCGTGACGAATCATCCCACTTCAGGGCTCAGTGCACAGTGCAGCCACCCCGCAAAACATAATAACTCTTCCGTTACTAATAATTATGACTGTTCATATATGAAACTATAATGACTTCTACTACACTCGTCTTCCCCATAAAAAAAAGTCAATATCATAAATTCAAAATTAACTCAACTTTCAAAATAAAATAAATTCACTTTCAATAAAATGCAACCAAAATTTCTTCTTCCCATTATTCATTAATAATTTTACAAGTCCAGCCTGTGAGGCTTTCGCACAGTCCGTGCAGACTTCCTCAGCGAGGGTGGTGGGCTGCACTGTGCTAGCGGCGACGCAGGAGTTGGCTGAGGCTGGGCTTGCCCTAGGCTCTCCCTGGGACTGGTAGTAGGCCTAGGTACAGGTGACATCATCATGGGACTAGTTGGTCGATCCTCCGGCGGGGGTGAATTCTTGGGTACTTGGGGTGATACAACGGGATCCTTGGGTGATACAAAAATCTCCTCCTCTTCTGCATACCGAGCTCTCAAGTGATCCGCATGACAAAATCGGGGTTTTCCACCAATAACACTCACCAGATAGGTGACCGGACTTCTCTTTAGAATTATTTTGCCAGGAACCCAAGATATCTTTTCATTTCGGACAGTTTTGACATAGACTGCCTGACCTTCTGAGAAAAATCTGCTTCTTCCCCTAAGCCTATCAGCTACATCTTTTTGTTCCCTGTGTTTTTGATCAATGGATGACTGGAGATTGGGTTTTAACATAACCAACTGAGTACGAGGCTTCCAAGACAGGAACATTTCTGCAGGGGTTAAACCAGTAACTGTATTTGGAGTGTTGCGGTACGCAAACAAGAAATTATCTAATTTCATTTGAAGAGTGGTACGCTGAGAACGCTGATGTTCCTCAATCACTTGACGCAAAAGGTTTTTCTTGACCTCCTGAACACTTCTCTCCGCAGATCCATTTGAAGCCGCATGATACGGGGGAGTTAATGTGAACTTCACATTGTTGTTATGCAAAAAGGTTTTGAACTCTTGACTAGTAAAAGATCTTCCGTTGTCCGACACCAGTTCGACAGGCAATCCATACGATGAAAACAAGGTACGGAGTTTCTCAATAACCTTGGAAGAATTCATGGAACTCATGATAAATACCTCTAACCATTTAGAGTATGTGTCAATCAAAACTAAAAGTTGCTGTCTCGACTCTGGATCCTCCGCAAAGTCAATGTGTATCCTCTGCCATCGGGTTGATGTTGTAGGCCATTGCTGCAACGGTACTTTAGGTATCGAATTCCTAGTTAACTGACACGCAGAACAAGAGGCCACCACGTCTTCAATCGACTTCTCCATGCCTGGCCACCAGACATAACTTCTCGCCAGCATCTTCATGCGTGTAACTCCCGGGTGTTGATCATGCAACATTTGAAGCACAGATGAATACAGTTTCTTTGGAATCACTACACGAGAACCCCACAGCAAACAACCTTGTTCCAAGGACAACTCGTCCTTCTTCCTTAGAAAAATAGCTAGTTCCGGCTCAACCGAGCTCGTCCAGCCGTACATCACAAAATCTCGGACCTTCGAAAGAATCGGATCCTTATCCGTCATTTTACCTATATGCAAGGCAGTAATAGGTGCAATGTCCTTGACAACACAGAAATTGTTCATCACTTCTGTACACATATCTACATGTGAAACAAAATTAGCATCCAGCTCTATAGGTTCCGCTTCTGCTAAGGGTAACCTAGACAACGCATCAGCGTGAGGGACATCCACTCCCTTCCGGTACCTAACCTCCAAATCATATGCTGATAGAATCAAGGCCCATCTCTGCAGCCTAGCTGCCGCCATACTAGGAACACCCTTTTTAGAGCCAAAAATAGCCGTCAACGGCTGATGATCAGTCTGTAGAATACAGTGTCTTCCATATATATACTTATGAAACTTTTTGACTCCAAAGATCAAAGCCAGGGCCTCCCGATGTAACTGAGAATAATTCCATTCACTGGAACTTAGCGTTTTCGATGCGAAGGCAATTGGCCTTTCCTGACCATCGATAAGATGAGATAGAACAGCAGCCACCCCTCTGGGACTCGCATCACACGTCAGAACTATGGGCTTTTTAACATCATAGTGAACTAACAAACTTGAGTCCAACACCCATGATTTACTCTCCTGAAAAGTCTTAGAACACACCTCCGACCACACCCATGGATGATCCTTATGTAATAAGTCATAAAAACAGCTTATTCTAGCAGACAGGTTAGGTATAAATGCATGATAATAATTTATTAGACCAATATAGGCTCGTAACTCTTCCTTAGTACTAGGCTCAGGCGCTTTACGCAGCGCAGTTAACAAACTTTCTTGTGGACGGAGACCATCTCGAGTAATCACATGTCCTAAATACTCGATTGAAGATTGCAAAAACTTACACTTTTGTTGGTTTACTCGAACACCAAACTCATCAAGGCGTTGCAGCACCTGCGCCAGACGGGCAAGCCCCTCTTCCTTAGAGCGAGCCGCTACTAAGACGTCATCTAAGTACGCCACCGTTCCTGGAAGACCTGTTAAAATTTGGTCGATGGCTGACTGAAAAATTGCAGGAGCTGAAGACAAACCATATGGTAGCCTTTTTAAACGATACAGACCCTTATGGGTAGCTAGGGTCAACGGATGTTGCGATTCATCCGCTACCGCCAATTGCTGATACGCATTTGAAAGATCAAGGCAGCTAAAAACTGAGCAACCGCCTAGAGTTGCAAAAATATCTTGAGCCTGAGGAAGCGGATAATGTTCCATTTCAATACACTGATTAAGAGTAATCTTATAATCGGCACAAAGCCTAACACCATTAGGCTTAGGGACAACCACAAGTGGAGTGCTCCACTGTGAATTAGTAACTCTGTACGCAACATCCTCTTGAACCATGCGGTCCAACTCACTCTCAACTTTCTCCCTTAACGCAAAAGGCACTGGTCTCGCCTTACAAAACTTAGGGACTGTCCCCTCCTTTAAGACAATATGAGCCTTAACACCCTTAATTTCGCCCGTTCCAGGCTGAAAAACTGACTTAAATTTACTCTTCAATTTAGCAATGTCCAAATCAGAACTGTGATCCACAGTGGCTTTACATGAAAACACATTTTGCCAATCTAACCTCAACTGGCCTAACCAGTTTCGCCCCAACAGAATCGGCTGACTCTTACTTTCTAAACTAACTACTGTCAAAGGCAAACTCGCCTGCTGATTATTATATTTAACATTGACATTCACTTGTCCCAGAACAGGTACATCATGACCTGAATAAGTAGTAAGTTTCACATTTGCTGGCCTAAGTTTGAGGTTAGAAAATTTTTCATAAAATATCTCAGAAGGACATATAGTCAAGGCACTGCCTGTATCTAGAATCATTTCTAAAAATACATCATTAGCCACTAGGCCTACCTTATAGCCGTTGTCTGATCCTGATTTAAGGTTGTACAGACCTATCTCTGCCATTGGAACTTCTAGGCCTAGGCCTACCTCTTCCTCCACTTGATGGACCCCCATCCTAGGTGTCGACTTTTTACCATGGAAACTAGAAGATTTCTTGGCTTTACACACTTTCTTGAGATGACCTACTCTCTGACAACCGTGACACTTGTAACTGGCGAACGCACACGCACTAGGCCAATGACCAGCAGAACCACACCTCCAACAAGAGTTTCTAGAATTTTGATTTTCACTACTCCTATGCATGAAAGTTTTAGGCCTATTTTGACTTTTCACATTGATTTTCGCAATGTCCCCACGAGGTTGCACAAATAGGCTTGACTGCGATTCGGCCTGTTCCAGCCTAAGCGCTGACGCATAAGCTTCGTCAAAGTCCAATTCCTCCGACAACAATTTCTGCCGGATAGTTTCATTAGAAATGCCGGAAATCACTTTGTCCCTCAAAGCGTCTTTCAAAAAGGTACCAAATTTGCACGAACTAGCCAAATGTTTTATTGAAACCACAAACTCCGC